GGCTATACCATTTAGGTTTATGTAAGTACATTCTATGATGTTCACACAACAACTAAATCGCCTGACGATGCATTTCTCAGAACGTGTCCCTGACATTAAGTGACGTCTGACTCTATAATACAGCCCCAACTATATAAAGCAAAAATTGACAGAACTATCAGTTGAGATACACAAATGCACCATCATATTAAGAGATTTTAACTCACATCTCCCATTAATTGAATTATAACATGCAGATGCAAATTCAGTAATGGAAGATGTCAACAACACAATTATAATACTTGATCAAGGACATATTTTTAGAACAGCTTACCCAACAGCTGCAGAATACATATTCTTTACAAATACACACAAAGAATATAAACTCAAACATTTAAAAAGATTAATGGCTTACTATGTTCTTTGACTACTGTGGTCCTGAAAAATGTTAATATCAATTGTCAAGTAGGAAACATTATTGCTGAAATATAATCTTGTGAAGATCTGATACCAATTTGAAGGTTTGCCTTTGTAGACTTCTCTATCAGTCATGTCAGAAGTTCTATATGAAATGAGTGTTGCTAAAATTATACCACTGGTTTCAATAAACATGTCACCAAGATAAGTGTATACAAAATTCTATTTCTTCATTTTTAACAAATCATGCAAATTGTGTCCATCTGTGTTTCTATCCCTTTTACCTCAGTAATATCAGAATAGATAAATAAATCTCTTCATTACAATCAGCCTAAAAGCTGGCTTAAAAAGATTTCCTTTGTGTGTGCATATGTAGTATTTTTCCTTCACATACTTAAAGTAAATTGAAAAAATAACAATTTTATATTATGCAGGGGTATGACTGTCACTTAAATCCCAACAAATGATGGGGAAAAACTGTATTACTATTTCCTCCCCACAAATTAAAAACTCCTGTTGTAGGCATTACAGGTAGGGTTCCTTTCTTTGGAGAAGAATTAATTATAATGAAAGGAGAAGTTTGAGAAATTTTGTAACACTTGGAGCAGAAGTGGTTTTTAGTTTACGGAATGTTTTTCAAGGCTTTGGACTATTTGGGAAAAAAATTTATGTGGTGTAGTTTGCCTAATTGTGAAAGTGAAATCCAGAGAATAATTTCTCAAAAGATCACACAAATTTGTAGCACTTTTTAACATGAACACCATATTGTTCATGTGATATACAAGCAATAATTCCCATTTTACAAATGTAGGAACCGAGAAACTGAAGTGTCTCACCCCAAGTCAAGCTATGACACACATGATGCTAAAATGTAATTTTTTTGTTTCCCCATTATGTCTCATCCTCATTTTTGACTGTTAGGTCTGCGGCTCTGCAATATATCTCATTTTGTTGACCAAGTAACACCTACCTTTGGCAAAAACGTTTAAGATGAGTATAATTGAGCTTAATGTTAGGTTCTTGATTCTAAATTCTTTATTTAATTCCCAAGACCACTTGTTTGACTTCTATGTCTCATGACTCACACTCTATTCTTATCACATTTGGTTTCCTCTCATCATCTTACCTTTTGAAAACCACTGTGGCCATGTGTCAAGGGTGGTAACGTTTGCGGGAGAAGCCTTCTCCATAACATCTCCGTGTAACAGCCCAGCCCTGGACAATCTTTTGAATGTCTATCATTCACTTTTTCTGCTTCTGTTCTCGGTAGAGCCTAGATATGAGGCAGCGGGACAGGGAGGAAGGCAAGAGAAGGCAGAAGTAAATAATCCGCTTCAGGCAGACCTGCTCTCAAATCCAGCTTTGCCATTACGCACTGGGCTAGCTGGGCCTGCTGCTTCATCTATAAAGTGCTGATGAAAGTATTGATCACCTAGAGTTATGGCAAGTACTGAGACAGTGTATATCACCTGCTTAACGCATACTTGAGTGCTATGCAAATGTTAGTTATTATACTAGCCCCTCTCACCCTCGGCTTCAGTGGTGCCCTCTCTGAGCTCCCTGGACTGCCGTCCTATGAGGCCTGTCACTACGCCAGCGTGTCCAGAAGTCAGTCGTGGGTTACGCTGCAGTCCGCGGTATAGGAACGCCTGCCTCCTATATGTGCAGGCCAGGGGAGCGCTAGCATTTTGCTACGTGGCAGGGCTAGTTAGCAGGTGCACATGTCTGAACATTCCCGAATCAGGAGGGGGCAGCTCTGAATTTCAGAGAAGTCACCAGGCCACGGCTGGAGGGAGGCGGGAGCCCGGAGCGTCAACTGGAGCTCCGAATTTGCAGTCTGCAATGACATGAAACGCCCTAAAACGAAGGTTCCAGCAAACAATACCAATTAATTAGGGGTCCGATTCCGTGCGCACACGGTGTGGAAAATGCTGCAAGGCGAGGTACTTTTTCGGTGACTTTGCTTCTCGGGGGTTGCAGCCCTGACGCCCCGGCGCCTGGCCCCGACCCAGAAATGGAGTGGGCTGGCCCGGGGCGCAGGACACACGGGCACCTGGCGTTTCTGGCTCGGTGGCCAAGCGGGCCGGCGCTGCCCCCGACCCTCCGGGCGCGCGGGGC